GAGAATTAAGTCTTCAATGCATTCTGCTTTGAGCTAAAAAACTGGTCTCCTTTCTGTCCCTCACATCCAGGACTTTTCTCACCTCTGTGCTATTACTGACCCTCTTCCCTATGGCTGAAATGCTGTTCTCTCTTCTTCAAGACCCGGCTCAAATTCTGCTTCCTCTGTGCTGCCTTTCCTGTGCTCCCAGCTTGGAAATGATCTTTCTTTCCTCTGATTTTGCAGAGTGCTTTCATGGTATTTAATGATTTGTTGTATAGGGATAGGAAGTGAATCTGTGATTTCATCGCTGTAGGGCTCTGGAATGAGGAGATGCTCTCTGCCGATGCAGGTTGGTGCCATCTCTGTACCTTACAGTCTTAGAGTTGCCTAGAGCATGGGGAAGTTAATTGTCTTGCCTAGAGTCACATACTATGTATCAGAAGCAGAACCTGAATCCAGATCTCCCTAGCTACAAGGCCAGTTTTCTATCCACTACATCATGCTATTACTATATTATGTGATATATATGTATATATACGTATTATGTGTACACACATATCATGTATATATACACATATAATTTACCATTTGGAGCTGGTAGTCAATAGCTTGAATAAGAGGCAGCAAGGTACAATGGGAAAAGTCAAATGAGAAGACTTGTGTTCAGATTTTGGTTCTATTACTACTTATGTGACCTTGGGCAAGTCACTTTATTTCTCTAGACCTCAATTTCTTTATATGTAAAATGAAGGGATTGAACTGAATCCCTGTGTCATTTAGATTAAGAGTGGGAGGTGACCTTAATAGTCATCTAATCCAGTGGTAGGGCAGTTAGCTGGCACAGTCCCGATTTCAAATGTGGCCTCAGACATTTACTAGCTGTGTGATTTTGGGCAAGTCATTTAATTCTATTTGCCTCAGTTTCTCATCTGTAAAATGATCTGGAGACAGAAATGGCAAAGCACTCCAGTATCTTTCCCCAGCTGCTTCCAAGGGATAGAAGGGATATAATTGCTTGAGCCAAGTCTCCCATTATGACTACAGATGTGTATATTGTTTCTCCTTTTAGGATGTAAGCTACCTGAGAGCTATTTCTCTTTTGTCTTGGGTCCCCAGAAGCTAGCTTAAGTTGGCACTTAATAAAATGCTTGTTGATTGCTTGAATGATTGCTTTACTCTCCATTGTCCACTATGAACAAATCCACATTAATCTCAGAGAGAGGCCAGCTCTTCCTCCCTTCCAGATCGTCTCTGACATTCCAATAACCTACTGACGGAGATGAAAAGAGCTTTTTACAAAGCAGTGTGTAAACCCCCAAGACAGAGAGGCCTCTTTCTAATCAGGCTTGCTTTCTTTCTTTTCTCTTCTCCTTCTCTCCCTCACCCCTTATTCCCACTACATTTAGACTAATTCTAATTGAATCAGTTGCCTCTAGGTTCTGAAAATTTGCAACACAAATGTGAAATTTGTATCTCTGAGGCTAAATGCCATCCACCCTTGGGGACACTTAAAAATATATTATTCCCTGGAGTTCTTTCTTTCAGCAGTTTCAAGCCAATAGGGATGTCTTTTTACTTAGGCCAGAGAGCCAGCTAATTAGAGCTGTATATCCTTAGGCACAGGAGGAAAACTGAATGTCTCCCCATTACTAATGAAGGATGTTCCCTACCCCCACTTCCCACTGCTACTATTCTAGTTCAGGCCTTCATTACCATCCATTTAATAAGAGCTAACATTTATTTAGGCCTTAAGGTTTGCCAAGGGCTTTATATACATTAACTCATTTGATCTGGACAATAATACTGAGTCAAGTACTACAGGTGTTATGGGAAAACTGAGGCTCTGAGAGGTTAAATGACTTCCCTGGACCCCCACTTTAGTATAAGTGTCATACATGCGATCCAAACCCCGGTTCGTAATGACACCAAGCCCTAAGCATGTTCTTTCTGCTACAACACAGGGCCTCATTATAGTAACAGACACCTAAAAAGTTCCCCCCTCTTCCACTTCACCCTCCCTCCAATCCTTCCTTTCAATACACATAAATCCAATCATATTGCTCCTTGACTCCAAACCCTATAAATGTCTCCCTATTATCTACCACGTAAAATCCTAATTCCTGTGACTGCCATTCAAGGTTGTTCACCATCTGCCCTCTCCCACCTTATCTCATGCCCTCCATGTACTCTGTGTTCTGGTTATATTGGACTACTTAGGCCGTCCTTACTACTTGCCCCCATGCTTTCTCACTTTTGTGTCTTTTCTGAAATTATTCCCTGTGCCTGAATTGCTCTCGCCTTCTGCCTTTGCTTGTTCAAAGTCTAACACAGATGTCCTTTTCTCTAGAAAGCCTTTGTCTGACCCCCTGAGATCAGAAGGACCTTTGATAGATAAGTAATGACCTGTCCCAACCCTCCCAACCCCAGGAGCTCACCTAAGGCTCTGTTTTCACCTCCCTTATATGCCACCTGTTCAGATGGCACAGTACTAGGATTACTGCAAGTTTTGGTCCCTGTCTATCATCCGAAGAAGCATCATGGCAAGGGGACTAGTGTCAAATGGCCTATGTCTGAATCCCACCACTTTTGTGAACAGGTCACTTAACTTTTCTGAGCTTCAGTTTCCTTCATAGTACACCTAGAATAATCCTCTTGCTCTACCTTCATACAAGTATGAGGATAGAATGAAATGAAGTCTGTGAAAGTGGTTCCAAAACCAGTTCACATCAATAAACACTTAGTAAGTATCTATCTACAAGGTACTTAGGATGCAGGACACTGCCCTCAGGACTGGAGATACAAAAATAAACAATAGCAGTGCCTCTGCCCTCAACAAGTTTATAATCTATTCCAGGGAATTCAACATATATACAAATTAGCCTGACAGCTAAGAAAGGATGAAGGAGAGATTAGGCACAATAACTGGGCTTACACAATGCATTGTAATTATCCTGGGTCCTACCTGTTGTTATGGATCAAATGAGAAGTTTGAATTTGTTGATTTCTAATCTCCTCAAAAATAGCTTACGTTTATATATCTCTTTAAGTTGTTGTGGGGGAAATGTGAAATATTTTCACCCATAACAACTCCAGGATGTAGGATATATAATTATTATGATCCCCATTTTATTTATCCTATTTGTTCATGCATTCACTTCTTTATTCATCCATGCATTAATCTATCTATCATGTATATATGTATCATGTGCATATGTATCTATTTCTTTATTGGCCTGGATCTATGATTTGATCCACATGGGGATTTCTCTGTAAAGAAACTTCCTCTACCTATAACTATCCAGCAACAAATTCTTAGAGAATTGCCTGGGGTCACTGAGAAGCAAAAGATGCCATGGTCAGTAAGGAACAGAAGTCTTGATTGAGGATGACCTTCTAACCACAATACCACACTGTCTTCTTATTTTACCTATGGAGAAACTGAGGCTCTGAGAGGTTAAATCACATGGCTAGTAATTGTCTGAGGCAGGGTTTGACCTGACTCCTGGTCTAGCAATCCATCCATTATGTCCCTCAATTATCTCAAGGCAAATGCTCTTTAAATATAGCTCGGATGTTTATCAGACTTTCTAACTCCAACTTTAATCATCTAATACACAGGAAGCCTTATAACCTACATTTCTCTAACCAAATCAGACTTTCTAGTCCAATTATACTATCTAACCCATATATATGTATATATGTGTGTGTGTGTGTGTGTGTGTGTGTGTGTGGTGTGTGTGTGTGTATTTGGGTAACTGCTCAGTACCAGCTAAGTATATGACTTACTTTTGTCAAACAAGCCTTTTTATTCAAATCTATATATTTCACCAGGATCATTTCTTATCTTATTTTTATTTATTTATTGTATTATCTTAGTCGGTTAGTGAAATGTAAAAAAATATATATATATAGCAAGGCTCCCAAGTCTTTGCATTTTTTCTTTGATTACAAAAACATTCCAGATGTTTGGCTTCCTTGACCACAGAAGGCTCATGCTTATGAAGTTCTGGCTCAGGAATTAAACTGTATGTACAGCAGGTGCAAATCATAGTCGGTAGTTTTAGATTTATAGTTTATAGATTTAGAGATAGGAGGTGCCTTAAAAGTTGTTTAGTCCATGGGAAACAGAAAAATCTTGTTACTCGGGTAGCAGAGAAGCTAGTTGGATTTTAATACTTATTGGATCTGTGATTTCAGGGATGTGGGCAAATTCTGTTGCAAACTAGATCAGAGATAAGAAACCCTTCCACACTTTAATAGACATTTCATTTTTATAGCTGAAAAAAAATCAATATCCTATAACCAACTTAATGGAGATAAGCTTCTCCAAACAGACTGGTCCTTGAATGACAGCAATATAGTTCACGGCTGGCCAAATCGGAAGCCTTTCCAGCTGCAAACACTTGGAAGTTTACCTTCCCTTGATTGGCGTAGCCTTTGAGAACCCCCAGATACTTCCATGCAAGGATGAGTCCTTAGGAGCAGGACCTCAGTTCTTCAGCAAGAAAGACAGGAAAAACATTTCCCCACCAAGAAAAGAAGAATTTCCTTTTAACCTTGCCTTGTCTATGCTGAAAATTTGAAAAAAAGAAATTTAAATATTGTAAAGGCTATTTCTACCTCAAATAAATAAATGCTTGCTGAATCTTGGAATACAAATATGACATTTACTACTTCCTATTATTTGTACTCCAGTAGCTGTTACAATTATTGTTGTAATGATATTACTCAAACTAGAAAGAATATACTTGTAATAAAAATGATAATAATAAGAGCTTTTTGCACTGTTTACCACCTTAAAGAGAGAGTAGATGAATTAAGTAAGAGATTTTAAATTGTGGGAAGAGAGGGTGGGAAGACATCACCTTCCAATGTTCCAGTGTGTAAATGGGATGCTAAAAACAGTCCTTTGACGGACTTGAGGGTAATTGATTCTCTGACGCTGAAAATGCTCTATAGAGAATGTGGGTATAAAAGCTTCCAGGGCTCTGGGCAGCAGTTGGAACACACCATTATCAGGAAGGTGTTGCAAACAGACAGCCGCATATTTCTGCCCCTGTCTCCTGTCATTAGGCTCTGGGTGTTGACCTGCTAAAGAAAAAAGTGAGACCTGTGCGGAAGAAGGGAGCGGGGACAAAGGGACACTGGTGGTGTCAAGGAACAGCAAGAAAGAGAAGTTGCCATTTTCAAAAACTCAAAACATCTGAAATCTCAAAGGCAACCTACCATCCTCTTTACAAAGGGACTGGTGAGTACAACCATGGCTCTGACTAGGTAAAAATAATTCTCTTTTTGGGCTTTTGCACATGCTGCCAAAAGAACTTGAAGACATTTTGAATCTAGGGCAATGTCAACAAATCCCAAGTGGGTCAGACTGCCCCAGCTGTAATGGCATTTCAAATGGCCCCATAAAGAAACTGGAAACTTACTTCCTTTGCCCCAGTGGTACGATGACAGATTCCATAGTCTTAGAGTTGGAAGGGACCTTAGAGATCATGTAGTCTAGGCCAATCCCCTCATTTTCCAGCTAAGGTTTAACCAGAGAACTTAAATTTTTTGTCCTGAGTCACTCAGGTCCTTTGACTCCAAATGACTCTGTTCTTTCCACCATCATGCTGCCTTCTAATTCCTGCTTTTTAGGACTGACTGTAAATTTGTTAGGTTTTCCCAAAGATCGGATTCTTCTTCTAAAAAGTGCCATTAAAATAACACAGGGAAGAGAGGCAGCATAGTATGGTGATTAAGAGCCAACCTTGGAACTCAGAAGACCTAGATTGACCTCCTGACTATACAATCCAGAGCAAATCACTTAGCATCCCCGGTCCTACCCTACAACTCTCCCAGCTTGAGTTGCAGAGCAGGTTACTATTTCTATTAATAGGGGGAGTGTTCTCTCTAGGAGTTCCACATACTACTGAAATCAGTCTGTTTAAAAACTGAACAAACAACAACAGAAGAGCTAAGGGGCTTTGTAAATCAATAGCCTTTACTCATCTGTCCAACATCAATTTCCCTTAATTACCTAGAAACTGAACTCCTCTTATATGGCTATTTCCTCATTAATAATTTTAACTGCTTTCTATTTTGAATGCTAATGTTAATTTTATAAGTCTAATCAGGATGTACATGTTTGCAGGGCCTTTCAAGTACAAACCAGCACACATAGACAGTATCAGTCTGTTTCTTCATCTATAAAATGGGGGCAGTGATATTTGGGATCATAGATTTAGAACTGAGAGTTCAGAGGATATCTAGTCAATAGCTCTCACTTTACAATTGAGGAAACTGAGACCCAGAGAGGTTATGTGACCTGCCCAATGCCATACAAGTAGTAAACGTCAGATTTGAACCTGGGTCCTCTGACTCTACTAGGCTACTGTGAGAGAAGCATTTAATAAACCTTAAAGTGCTACAGAAATGGGAGTTAGTAGAGTACTATTCATTGTCCCCACTCCTAATATAAGATTTCTCAGGTGTTCCAAAGCAGTGCTTTGTGGGTCTCATTCTCTGGGAATGTGTTCTGACAGCTTGTCTTCTTCAGGAGACCCTTTCTGATGAAAACCATCATCTGAGGAATTCTCTCTGGGTTAGTGGGACACTGAGACCATTTGTGTTAGACTGCTGATCATTGTAAAGTAAGGCTCCACTTACACAGAATTCAAAAGATTCAGAAGCTTAAATAACCAGAATTGTTGAAGAAACACTAAACAAGGAAAATTGATGGTATTCATGATGAAGAGTTAAAAGTCCTGCAAGTTCTTTCAGAATCTTTAAAGAAAGATTAAATTATGTTTAATCTAATTTTAGTCTCATAAAAAATTTATTGAATTCTCAAAAACTCTTGTATAAAATGTGTTATGCACACAATAAGTGCTTAATCAATGTTGGCTGAATTGAACTACACACTTGCAGTCTTAATCATTTATTATTCTCAAAACCCTGGATCTCATACTATCTCATTCTGAAAGACTCCAGTGAAAGACTCCTAATGGAATATATTCATCAACACTGTATGTGGAGTTTTCATCCAAGGTCTTAGCTTCTGATGGTCCAAGGCAGAGAAGAGAATCTAGCATCATTTATGATAACTCAGTTAACCAGAATATTCAATTAACCAAAGCATCCCAGCCCCTGACTATCCTTGGAAAATAAGAGTTTACTGTTTCTAAATGTACTTCTCCAGCTTTTCTAGTTCCTAGGATACAAGAGGAAATGCCTCATTTGAGAGTCAGGGGTTCTAAAGATTGTTAAGAATAGGGAAATTCTATTCAGAGTATGACCCTCTCCTCTGAAAAAAAGATAAGCATCATATTCCCAATACAAGATACTTCAGATGGCTGAATCTCTCTTATCTTCTAATAGCTCCAAGATGGCACCTCTTTTAGGTTCTGATATCACTTTTACTACTGTATAGTTTCTGCCTCCAGAACAAGGAGGACAATACGGGAGGCTTTGCACAAGCATAGTTGCCACAGCATCTAATCCGAGTCGAGGTGGGCTGGAGCAGTACCAGATGTCAGGAAATTGGGCTGTAGTGAGGGACTGGGGAACTTTGAAACCGGGAATTTTGAATCCTCAGAATCCAGGAGATTTCCTATATAATTCTTCCAGGACTGAAGAGGCATGCTTTGACAAATGAAATTAAAGGTAGAAGAGCCCAGTATTTCCTGGCAATACCCTGGATGAGTTAATTCCCATTGTCCTCTGGCAAAATCGAAGTATTTGAAAGCCATAGAAGATTTCTCTTCTTAAAAACCCACCGGATTCTTTTAACATAGAATGTCTCAATAAGTACAACACAAGTCTGATGCACTCTGGCTCACTCTCCACCTCCCCATACCTTCTTTTTGATGTGATCTTTTTTGGTTATGCATGTGTTAGAGGCAGGAAGTATCTGTCCTTGGCATGGGGTACGAGATAAGTACAGGCAGAACAAAGAGAAGTTTTGTTTTGTTTTTATGACTAGAGGTTTTTCAGTTAATAATGGGCTCCTGAAGAAGAGGTAATTCATAGGGCAGAAACCAGTTCATCAAATGACCATGCCTCAGGAAGCAGAGAAGGGACTGGGAGATACTAAATCTGTGTAGCCTTGAAAAAGACACTTTAATATTCTTTGCTTCAGTTTCTCAATCTGTAAGATATAGAACATTAGAGTAGGAGTCGGAAAACTTTTGTTCTAGTCCTGGCCTTGCCACTAACTAGCTGTGTGGCCTTAAATAAGGTCCTTCCTGCCTCTGAGCTCTGGTTTCCTTCTTTGTAAAATGAGGGGATTGAACTAGAAGATCTATAAAGTTTTGAGGTCCCTTCTAAGCTATGCTTCTATGATCCTTCCAGCTCTTCCATGCTGTGGTCTGCATTCTAATGTTCTAGGTTAGAGTCTATGTTCTAGGATTCCTTCCAACTCTGACATTCTATGTTTCAAACTCTCAGTGCTATTTTATGACTACAATATTTCCCTTACCCATGATTGTGCCATAGACAATAAGAGCACAAAATATGTGAAGCAGGCAGCCTAGCTAGCATTCTCTCTTCTCTCTGCACAGACTGCAATGCAATATTCTGTTCTCAGGACATTATTGTAAAAAGGTTAAGAGTGTACACTTAATATCTGTTACCTTTACTCTAGGAAGTTCTTTTGTATATCTGTCACCCAGAAATCTAAGACTTTTTGAATCCATTACTATTTTCAGCCAGTACCAACTTTGGAGGTTTATACATGGTATGTTCCAAAAGTCTTAGGGTAGTTTTAAGCTCTAAAAGCTTGCTCTTCTACTGCCTCATTCTGAAAGATTCTGGTGACTTTATGTCTTTACTTACACTTCAAAGCTACTGAAGCTTAATTCTGCACTAAGACTTTGGGGACACCCCATATTTGAGATTTCCTTTGTCCTTCAAGCTTCATGGGTGGGTGGGTAATAAGTTTTCCAAGCTTGAGGTTCTAAGTCTGTGTTTAACCTCTAATACATTCCCTTCAGGATTTTTCTTTTTTCTTTTTTTTTTGGTAAGGCAATCAGGGTTAAGTGACTTGCCCAGGGTCACATAGCTAGTAAGTGTCAAGCATGGGATTTTTCAAAGTATAATCATGTCTCCAGCTACCCATCCACATCACCTAGTCTAATCTTTCCAGACTAAAGAGGTCTTAGCTTTTCACTTTATCCTCATATAGCTATTCCTTCATCCTCTAGATCACCGCAATGCAATTCAACAATCCTTTATTAAGCATTTATTAAGTACGAAGAGCTCTATGTTCAGTGCTTCGGAGAGATACAAAAGGAAATAATACCCAGTACTTACCCCCAGGTAGTTTATATTTTAGTAGCAGAGGTATCGTATAAATAGCAAAAATACAAAAGAATCATAATAAATATAATAAAAAGCATAAACAGAGTTCTATGTGAAGTTGAAAATATTTCCAGTGGGGAATTAGGTAGGGTAAGATTCATGGAGAAGTTAATATTTCTGCTGTGTCTAGAAGAATTCAAAGATTTCAAAGGAGGAAGATTTCAAAAGGAAGATTTGGGTGGGGGAAGATATTTTAGTCATAGGAAATGGTGTCCTAAGCATAGTAATGGGAAAATGCACATGTGTGTGGGGGCGGGAGAATAGTCCAGTTTGGCAGGAGCTCCGAGTCCATTAGTGAGGAGGGCGATGAGATACGCTTCTAAAGGCAGGGGGAGAGAGCCAGGGGCTGACACTCTGTTGACACTGGCCTATCCCCGTGAACTCATACAGAAAATCTCTAGTTTGCTTCCTCTCCAGAGGAAGGGAGACAAATTGGCCAAGGCCAGATAATTCCCCTGATGACTGTTGTTCCTCTAATTATAGGATGTGTTGTCTATGTTGTGGCATAGTAGTCACCCAGCAGGTACCCACATAGTGTCAATGGAACTACATTAAGGGTAATTATAGAATCTATTGAATCATTCTGCCAAGCTGGCTCCAAATAGCAGACTTCTAGAGAGAAGCTCCTCCCGCCTCCCTTTTCCACTTCCCCAGAGAAGATGGACATGAGAATACACCTCCTCTCTCAACGGAGCAGACGAGCTAGGACCAGTTTCACATGTGGTTGGATAAAATAGTTGCCTGTGACTTCAGGGGAACTTTAAAGATCACCCTTGTCTCCCCACATGCCTTACTCATTACTTGCTCATGTCTGAAATTCTACCATTTGAAAGTCATTCTTTTGTCTCTTTCAGAGTCCCCAGGGGGCGCCTGCACTTTAAGCATTAGCAACTGAATCTCCTGGAAGCAATTAGTTTGTCAGAGTTTTTCAGGATCATCATACCTTGCTGTGAGAGTAAATGTAACATGGGCAAGAAAGAGCAGACTGTGACCAGCATGGCCTCAGAGGATAGAATTAAGATTAATGGGTGTAAGTTATAGAGAGTTATTTATAATTATGCAGAGGAGTTCAAAATAAGGAAAAATGTTTTTCTATCAGTCAAGGCTATTGGAGTTGGATGCGCTGTGAGAAAATGAGTTCCCCATCAGTGGAGGTATTCAAGCAGCAGCTGGATGGCCCTTTCTCCTGCCTTCAGAACGAGTTGTCTGCTTTGTTTGTAAATGCAATCTCCTATCAGCATCCTTATCTTCCTTCCAGGCTTATCTCCTCTAGCCAGCCTCTTAGAACTCTGTCCCCAGTTTTCAGTGCTGACATCTCTATTCATATTTGTCCCTACCCTGTGGAATGTTAAATTCCTTAAGGGCAGAAACTTTCTTTTTCTTTGCATCCCCAATATCTAGCAAGGTCTTGTACATTTTTTACAGGAGGACCCTGAGATTTCATCAATGCAGGGAGCTCTCCATGAGGAACTTCCAATGCTTATGCAGATAGGCTTCTCTCTGAAACAGTCTTGGCTGGGGCACCACAGGGGTGGTGATTTGCCCGCACAACACAGCCACAGGGCCAGTGTGAGTCACAGGCAGGTTCTGAACCAGATCTTCCTGACCTTATAACATCAGCTTCTATAACCATTATGCCATAGTGCCGTATATGTAGTAGGCACTTAATAGTAGATGTTTACTGAATTGAAATGTCAAGGATATTGTAGAGTAGATTCCTTTATTGTGGAGGAAGCTGGACTGGATACCCTTGGAAGTCTTTGCAGTTCCAAGGTTCTGTGATGGGGCTGAGGAACTTGAACGGGTGGGAGTCGGGGAGGGGAATGAAAAGCAGTGGAGAGAGCATCAAAGACAAACTTTATTCTGGGCTCTTACACTTTAATGTGAGAACCACATTCAGAGGAGAAAAACTGGTTTGTAGGGTAAGACAACTAGATATGGCCCCAGGCACCAAAATTAGAGGGTGCTATCCTCACCTGTAGTCTTCATCAGCTAAAAACAACAAAGCTTAGCATATAGTTAGCAAGAATAATCATAGAATCAAACACTTGGAGGTGGAAGGAACCCCTTCATTTTACAGATGAGGAAACTGAGGCCCAGGGAAGTCAGTGGCAGAGGCAGGATTCTGCCCTGACCTTCTGACACTGACTCCAGTGCTCATACCGTACCCCATGGTCTTTGCTCAGCAATAGGACAATGAGAGGCAGAATTTTTGTTGCTCTAGAAACTAGGATCATTTATGTCCAGATCTTTTTATTTTCCAACTGATTATTCCTTCTACCTTCTTTCCCCTAAAGCTACAGGGTGAATGAATTAAAAAAAAAATTCAGTAAGTGATTACTAAGGCATTTTACCAGGTTCTATAGATATAAATACAAAAGTGACACATCCCTGCCCTCAAAGATCTTGTATTCTAATAGAGGAGACAATACACATAGGAGAGTGGTAGCCACAGAAGAGTTTCGGTATGTGGAAATCACAGATGGCAAGATACCTAGATAGGCCCAGGACCCTCGATGGATGGCTGGATAGGGTGTAAAACATGGTTTTACAGAATCTCTCAGAAAGAGAGATTAGTTGGAGTGAGTTTGCATGCACTCATCCACAGGTAAGGTGTTAGTAGATTAACTCCTCCGGGGAGAGAGGATGCAGCCTCTGCAGGAATGATCAAGAGGGTAGCTATTCCAGGTACAGAGAAGGTAGAGAGCATCAGGGCAGACAGCAAGATGCCTGGGCAGCCCTATTTCTTGGTGAGTAGCAGGTTCGATGGACGAGGTCTCATAGACTGAGTTCCTCCAGGTCAGAGAACCTCATCAGGTCCTTCCCTTAGACTCTAGATGGCACAGAACCCAAGTATTTAGAAAATATTTGTTGCTGCTGCTGCCTTGTGTCCAAACCACTGGATTGTTTTCTTCCCAGGTGCCTTCTGGAGTGTAAAGCATGCCAGCCAGGGTGGCTCTGCTTATGGTTCTTCACCTCCTCACCTGCTCCCGCTGCTCCCCACTCTACCCAACGCTCAGGTAAGGCCCATCCTTTCATCTCCTTCCCTGCCTCCCATTGCAAAGCCCCTTTTTTGCCTCAGCCTCTCAGAATCTCCCATAGCTGACTAAGAAGGCACTCAGGCCCAACTAGAAGAGACTGAAACTACTTGTGAACAAAAAACAAAACAGCTAGACTCGTCTGTATCTGAATGTGGTTCTCCCATCAAGGCATAAGACACCTAGAATAAATTTTATCTCAGGTGCCTTTAACCAAGTTTTTTTCCTAGACTTTGAAATGTAAGACAAGGCAGGATCACAGAAAGAGGGCAAGATTTGGCTCCAGAGGTAGAACAGATCTCAAAGGGCATCTAGTTCCACTCCTTCATTCTACAAAGGAGGCAGGTAGGGAAAGGCAAAGAGCTTTGACTCTGGCAGTAGAGGACTGGGGTTCAAAGCTCAGTTCCCAACTTCTTACTTGTGTGGCCTTGGGCAAATCATTTGACCTCTCTGGATCTCGGTTTGGAAAGGCTTATAGATCTAGAACTGGATTTTACAAGTGAGGAAACTGAGGCCCAAAGAAATTAAGTGACTTGCCCAAGGTCACACAGGGAGCAAGACAGGATTTGAACCTAGGCTCAAAACTGAAATCATTACCTTTTCCCGTAAACCCTCCCCTTTTCGTAACTTTCTTATTTTTTTCATATAGCTTTAAAAGAAGGCTTATCTGCTAGCCTCCACAGAAACAACAAAAGGGAAGTTTTATTAGTACAACATGAAGAGTTAGATGAACAAGTCCAATTAAACCATAACAAGAGTTTCAAAACCAGTTACTCCAAACATCATGTTGAAATGTAGCATTCTTGGGCTCCATTCTGGCCTCAGATACGCTGCACTGAACATCCCAGGCTAGTTTATAAAATTTACCTTACACAAAGAGACAAATCTGGGCACTGCAACTCATTTTATAAGCTACCCAGTGATATGAACTACAAGAATATAAATCAGTCTAAAAACTTGTGATGGAAAAAAAAATACTTCATGTAAAACTTACACACCACTCCCTTTGTTTTTAGTGATATAAAAATTTTATTTATTTTTATTTATTTTTAATTCTTATTTTCAAAATCAAATTCTCTCCCTCCTTTAGCCTGTCCTCTACCCATTGAGAAGGCAAGAAATATGATATCCATAATACATATGAAATCATGTAAAACATATTTCTGCATTAGCCATATTGTGAAAGGGGGAAAAAAAACAAGAAAAAGAAATGAAGTGAAAGAAAATAGGCTTTGAGGCAGCTAAGTGGCGCAGTGGATAGAGCACTGGCCCTGAAGTCAGGAGGACCTGAGTTCAAATCCGGCCTCAGACCAAACACTTGATACTTACTAGCTGTGTGACCCTGGGCAAGTCACTTAACCCCAATTGCCTTAAAAAAAAAAAAAAAGAAAATAGGCTTCAATTTTCACTGCGTTCATCAGTTCTCTCTGGAAGTAGATAACATTTTTCATCATGAATCCTTTGGAATTGTGGTGAATTATTGCACTGATCAGAGCAGCTAAGTCTTTCACAGTTGATGATTATCATGATATTGCTGTTACTGTATGCAATGTTCTCCTAGTTCTGTTCACTTCACTTTGCCTCAGTTTATGTCTTCCCACTTTTTTCTGAAACAATCTTTCTCATCATTTCTTATAGCACAATAGCATTCCATCACAATCATACACCAGCCATTCTTCAATTGATGGGCATCCCCTCAATTTCCAATTCTTTGCCAACACAAAAAGAGCTGCTATAAATGCTTTTGTACTTAGGGGTCCTTTTCCTGTTTCTTTGATCTCTTTGGGGTACAGATTTAGTAGTGATATGGATGGATCAAAGAGTATGCACAGTTTTATAGCCCTTTGGGCAGAGTTTCAAGTTGTTCTCTGGAATGGTTGGATCACTTCACAACTCCCACAACAGTACATTAATGAGTGTACTTATTTTTCTACATCCCTCCAGCAGTTGTCATTTCCTTTTCTGTCATGCTAACTAATTTGATAGATGTGAGGTGATATACCTCAGGGTTGTTTTAATTTGCATTTTTCTAAATATTAGTGATTTAGAACATTTTAATATGACTATTGATAGCTTTGATTTCTTCTTCTGAAAACTGCCTGTTCATATCTTTTGACCATTTGTCAATTGAAGAATAGCTCTTATTTTTATAGATCTGGCTCAGTTCTGTATTTATTTGAGAAATGAGACCTTGATCAGAGAAATTTGCTGTAAAAAAATTCTACCAGTTTCCTGCTTTGCTTCTAATTTTGACTGCATTGGTTTCATTTGTGCAAAACCTTTTTAATTTAATGTAACTAAAAATTCTACATTTTACCTTCTATAATCTTTATCTCTTGTTTGGTTATAAACTTCCCCTATCCATAAATTTGACAGGTAATTTTTTCCCATGCTCCCCTATTTGCTTATGATATTACCCTTTGTGTCTAAATCATGTATCCATTTTGAGCTTATCTTGGCAAACAGTGGGGACATGTTAAGTCTATGCCTAGTTTCTGTCAAACTGCTTTCTAGTTTTCTCAGCAGTTTTTGCTGAATAGTGACTTCTTGCCCCAATAGCTTGGATCTTTGTGTTTATCAAACACTCAATGTGGCCATTTACTTCTGCACATTGTGTGCCTAAATCTGTTCCATTAATCAAACACTTTCTTTCTTATCCAGTACCAAATTGTTTTGCTGATCACTACTTTTTAGTATGTGTGCCTAAATCTGTTCCATTAATCAAACACTTTCTTTCTTATCCAGTACCAAATTGTTTTGCTGATCACCACTTTTTAGTATAGTTTGAGACCTGGTGGTAGTGGGCTACTTTCCTTCACTTTTTTTTCTCCATGGATTCCCTTCATATTCTTGAGCTTTTGTTCCTCCAGATGAATTTTGTTATTATTTTTTCTGGCTCTGTAAAGTAATTCTTTGGTGGGTGGATTGGCATGGCACTGAAGAAGTAAATTAATTTAGGTAGAATTGTAATTATTATTATATTAACTTGACCTACCACTCATGAACAATGAGTATGTCTCCAATTGTTTAGATCTGTCTTTATTTTTGTAAAAAGTATTTTGTTATTGTGTTCATATAGTTTCTCTGTGTATCTTAGCAAGTAAACTCCCAAGTACTTTATACTGTCTGTAGTTACTTTAAATGGAATTTTTATCTCTTCCTGCTGGCTTTTATTGGTAATAAATATAAAAGCTGGTAATTTGTGTGATTTTATTTTATATCCTGCAACTTTGCTAAAGTGGTTCATTGTTTCAACTAGTTTTTTATTTGATTCTCTAGGGCTCTCTAAGCATACTATCATATCATCTGCAAAAAGTGATAGCTTTGTTTCATCATTGCCTATGTTTATTCCTTCAATTTCTTTTTATCTTATTACTATTGTTAGCATTTCTAGTATAATATTGAATAGTAATGGTGATAATGGACATCCTTGCTTCTCTACCTGATCATGTTGGAAAGACTTCTAGTTTATCCCTGTTAATGCTTGCTCTTAATTTTAGATAGTCCTGTACTTCTTAGGTGCTTTTAAAAAAAAGTGTCATAGTGCAGAAGGAAAAAAAAATGGGACAAGAAGTCAGGAGGTCTGGGTTCTTCTAGTGCTGGCTGGGACCTAGGAGACTTGGCCTTAGTCTCCTCCTCCTTTGTAAAATGCCGGTGATACTATCTTTGCTTCATGGGATTTTTAAAAAATCACAGAACACCAGACTGATCAGAAGACCTGGGTTTGAATCCCAATTCTGCTATTAACTACCTATGTGACTTGGGGCAAGTCACACAATCTCTCTAATTCAGTTTTCTCATCTCTAAAATAAGAGATTTGGATTAGATGACCTCTAAGCTCTCTTTTAGCTTGAAATCCTATAAATGAAATAGTAGTTGGGAATACACCAAGTTGCTAATCATTGCTGTTACTACTCCTGGCCCTGTACCTTCTCTTACCCTTCCAGCCTCCAGCCTCCCACTAAACAAAGTTTCTGCTCTGCCAGCTTCCTCATTTCAGATCTGAGATCTCTTGACACTTTTAAGTACTAAGGCCTATTCAACCCCCAGTGGCAGCAACCACAGACATTCTGTTTCTGCCCATGCCATCACTCAGCCATGACTTTTACACTCTCAGGAAACATAGGCTCAGCTGTCAGTAGCTGCAGATGGATATGGTCAGGAAAAATGCTAGATGTGGAATCAAATCTAACTTGCCAAATTACTACCTATGTGACCTTATGAAAGTTACTTAACCTCTCTGGTCCTGTTTCCTCATCTGAAAAGTGAAGGGGTTGGACCAGATGACCTCTAAGTTTCCCCCTCTGGCTCAAAATCCATGATCCTATGAAGCATAGACAGGGAGTTAGCCAGTGTGGGGACCCATGCTCCCTTAACTGGCAGCGGCTGCATTTGTCTCTTTCCAGGTACAATCCACTGCCTATCTCAGGGAAGGAGATGAGCTTTCAGCTTGGAGAAAGCAGCCCAGCTCAAAGCCACAATCTCTCCATGGAAGAACAGAAGGAAGGTATCCTGATGGACTCTGCAGAGAAAAGGTGAACATAAATCCCTCTACCCTAATCCTCTGTTCCCTAATGGCCCATCCTCTGACTTTGTGCTCTTTTGTTACAGGATGCAACGCCATGCAGATGCCATCTTTAGCAATAGCTACCGGAAAGTCTTGGGTCAGATCTCAGCTCGGAAATTCCTACAAAATATCATGGGCAAGCGACTAAGGTAAGCAAGCCTCTGGTTGAGGCTTTAGACTGTCTACTTCTATCTCTGTAGTGACTATCACTTTATTTATTTTTATATGAGGCAATTGAGGTTAAGTGACTGGCCCAAAGTCACGCAGCTAGTGAGTATTATGTGTCTGAGGCCGCATTTGAACTCAGGTCCTCTTGATTCCAGGGCTGGTGCTATGTCCACTGTGCAACCTAGTTGCCCCAACTTTATTTTTTAAATTCAATTTTATCTTCAGCTCTGAATTCTCTTTTTAACTTCCCCCTCTTTTCCTAACAACCCAATACAAACATGTTTAGCCAAGCAAAACAATTTTCTACCTAGCTACATCCAAAAAGAAAATTAATAAATAGGCCCCTGTCTGCCCTGAGTCCATCAGCTCTCTTGTCTGAGGTTGGGCGGCACGTGTCACTGAGTCCTCTGGAATTGTGGTCTTTGTGTTGATCAGCATTTCTAAGTCTTTCCAAGTTATTAGTATTAGCCTGTACAATTTTGTTAGTACTTTGTTTTTATATCCCTAGTACATATTATTATTATAAATTATTTTCTTATTAATATTAATTATATATTAATTTTATTATATTATTAATTCTTGTATTAATATTGATTATTTTCCTGGGTGTACCACTTTAGATCTAGTGTTGATCTAGCTTTGCTGTTGCTGTTCAGTCATTTTCAGTTGTGTCTGACCCCATTGAAGGTTTTCTTGGCAAAGATACTGGGGTAGTTTGGATCTAGTTTAGGCATCTTCCTGCTGCTCTGGGAATTCAGGGACCCAATCACCTCTTCTCTTTCTAGGCCTTTTCATGATAGGTTTCTCTAAGGACTCCAGAGTCAAGCCTCCTATTATCTATCAATACGTAAACCTTCAATAAGTATTCTGCATGTGATTAGCAATTCTGTGCTAGTCACTGCAGCAGGAGGGGCAAGAAAAACATAACAAAGAGGCCCCCCCTTGTAAGAAGCTTACAATCTGGTTGTCAGGGGAACAATTTTAACACACTAGGTAAATGGACAATTTTATAAATAATAAACAAGTGAAATGAATGAATGAAAAAGTCTTTATTAGGCACTTACTCTATGCTAAGACCTGCGCTAAACAAATATATGTAGGAGGGTGGTGGGTAAGGAGGAGAATTTTGGGTTGGAAAATTTGAAGAGTGGTGAGTAGAGATGTGCGGGAGTAGACTGACACATGCTTTCCAGTAGCAGAGTCAGGACTGATTTGACTGTGGTGCTAAAACTTCAAAGCTGAGTTGAGATGAAGGTAGATGGAGGATGTTATAAGGTAGGCCTTACTCAACTCTGTCTGGTGGTTTGGGTTCAGGACTGGGATAAAATGAGATACTCATAGTTTATCTAACAATTAAGTAAAAGTTTACTTAGCCACAGCACGGAAAGGACATTCACCATATGGAAACACATCTGTTCAGCAGATGTATTGGGTCAGATGAGTGTGGTGACTCACCACAGTGGGACATCAGTCAAGTCTGAGCACTGATTCCTTGTGGGCTGTACCTTTTAAATGCTAGGCTATTGTGATGTCACACTGAGGCCTCAAGCCTAAGCCCCCTGGACTTTCTCAGGAAGAGCTTTCTTGCTTTTTAAGGGAAAAAAAAAGCTATCCTAGCCATGTATGGCAAGGCCTTAATTTCAGGGGTTCTTAATCTGGGGTCTGTGAATTTGTTTTGTTTTTTAAAAACATTTTGATAACTATATTATTCCAGTATGTAATTGGTTTCCTTTGTAATACGATGTATTTTGTTTTATGTATTTAAAAACATTCTGTGAAGGAGTTCAGAGGTTTTACTGGACTACCAGATTTGTCCAGGTCCAGGACACCAAGAAGGTTAAAAACCCCTGATTTTTTAAAATTTATTTTATTTTTAATTTATGGAATAAAACAAGCATTTCTATAACATAGCATAATAAAAAATGGTTGCATATGAAACTGCAGATCTATTATGTACAACTTGCTATTCCTTTTAAATATATAATAAAGTTATCATGTAAATTTCTTTCTTTTCTTTTCTCCCTGCCCCCAAAATGGCTACCATTACACACAAATAGGTATATGTGTATGTGTGTGTGTGTGTGTGTGTGTGTGTGTATGCAGGTATGTAAAATTATTCCATACATACTTCTATTTATCAGTTCTTTCTCTGGATGCAGATATCGCCTTTCTTCACATGTCCTTTATTGTTAATTGGGGTATTTATAATAGTCAAAATGACTTGTTTGCTCAAAGTCATTCTTAAAACAATATTGCTGTTACTGTATACAATATCCTCCTGGTTCTGCTCATTTCACTCTTTATTATTTCATGCAAGTCTTTCCTAAGACCATTGAGCTCATCATTTCTTATAGTATAGTGGTATTCCATCATAATCATATACCACATCTTGTTCAGCAATTTCCCAATTCCCCTGCAATTTCCAGTTCTTTGCCACCACAAAGAGAGCTGTTATAAATATTTTAAAACATATAGGTTCTTTTCCTTTTCCCTTAATCATCTTTAGAAATAGCCCTAGCAATGGCATTGCTGGGTCCAAAGTTACTTGATTGCGACCCCTAATTTCATAGCTATTGCTCCTACCCCAGAGGGAGGGCAATACATTTCTGGTGAGAAGATGATAGGAAGTAAAATGAAGCATGGCTGGAACAGCTGGCCTGAGAGAGTGGCCACACAGGAAGATTCATCAGTCAGGACTTTGAGGCGTGGGCATCGTGGGCATTCTGGAACTGAAAGAGATACACAAGACATAAGCCCTGGCAGGACTTTGATTAGAATGTAGGCTCCCTGAGGGCAGGGACTACCTTTACTTTGTTTTTATATCCCTAGTGTTTAGCATAGATCTTAGCATGTGGTAAATGCCTAATAAATGTTCTTTCATTCATTTAATTTATTGTTTGTATATTCCAATTAATGTTATTTATAAAATTCTCAACTTACTTATCATGTTAAAATTGTTCCCTTGACAACTAGACTGTAAGCTTTTTATAAGCAGGGCCTCTGTCTTATGCATCTCTTTTAGCTCCAAAATGCCTTCCCTGAGAGCCTCGAGGTCCTTGTTGGTGAGTCGTGGGTGGCCACTATACCAGGCTGGCCCCTCTAACCAGGGGCCTTTCCTCCTTGCCATGTCCTTCGGGGCCTGATCTCTGATTTGGTGGCAAGGCCACCAGAGGGAAGAAGATAGGAGAGCAAAGGGCAGTAAGTCGTGAAGGGAGAGAAGGGCATGATATGGAATTGTTGGGAAAGACCTCTTGGAGGAGATGGGCCTTGAGAGCCGACTTCTTGGAGCACAGCCTAGGGCCCACCCTAGCCAGCATCCGGCCAAACAGAGAAGGCAATATTCTGACCAAGTTCTTGGTTCCAACAAAGGTTGTATCATTAGAAGCATGGGTCGGGATCTGCCTTTGACACATAACCTGAGCGACAGGGATTTTTCCCCTTGATCTACTCCCACACGTTCTGTGCAACAGCTGACGGACGTTCCCAGGTTTCCAGAAGTGTTGGGAAGCCCCCAGCAATGTGAAGATAGCACCTCTCAAAGGGAGATAGTGTGGCACAGAGGAAAGAGCGTGGACTCTGGAATCAGAGGACCTAGGTTCGAATCTTACCTCTGATGCTGACTCCCTGTGTGATGTTGGGCAGGGCATTTAACCTCCCTGGGCCTCAATTTCCTTATGTCTAAAATGAGGAAGAGTGAGAACAAAAGGTTGGACTAGAGGCCCTTTGAGGTCCCTTCCAACTCTAGGGCTGTGGTCCTAATAGACATCGTTTTTTTTTCTTCCCAACCAAAGCAGACAGGGAAATAGAGAGGAAGAAGGTCATGAAGTACTGTCTAGACGTCAACTAGACAGCATCTTGATGGACAGCTGCTACCACAAACAGATGGAGTTACGGGACTTCTTGGCAGCTGTGCTGCAGAATCAAAGGTAGACGGCGGGGGCCTAAGAGGTCAAATCTCATGAAAGAAGTGACCAGAGAATGTGATTTGGGGACTGAGAATCTTGCCCCCTCCCTAACTATGTGAGGGGTTAGAGGAATAGAAAGAACAGTGGGGCAGGAGACTGTAGCGATGATATAAAACTGTGTATAAAATCAGTGTATTCACCAAGTGCCTGCCATGTGCTCAACACTGTGCTAGGTGTAGTGAAGGATTCAAGAGGACAGATAGAGTTCCTGGCCTCAGGAAATTTATAATCCAGCTGGAGAGAGCAAATTAATGCACATGCAGGAAACAATCAGGTAACAGTACAGGACACTCTAAAATAAAGCTCTAAGCAGTGGTACAGAGAGTATGTGATAACAGAGACCAGAGGAGGGATAGATCATGGCAGCTGGGGGTGGGGGTGGGATCAGGGAAAGCTTTCAGGGGCATATGGGATATGTATGGGTATATATGTATACATACCCATATACATACATAGCTGTTGACACTGTGGTGTGTATGTGGGACCTTAAAAAGGGCCCATGAATAAATAACCTAGGCCTCCATCTGAGGACCCTTCTCTTCAATGCTAAACTTTCTTTCTCTGAAACACAATTGACTTTTACCTCCCAATTGAGAGGATTTTCCCTATGGAGCTCGGGACTGTTCCATGCTTCTTTTTTATTTTTATTTTTTGCAGGCCTAAGGGGATCACCAGCAAACTGGAGAACATACCTGGGATCCTCACTAGGCTCATAAACCTGTAAAATTGGAGGAAATCAAGAAAACTCCTGCTGTACTCAAACAGGTATGACATAGTATCTATAACAAGCAATCACCACCAGTATAATAATTGCACATTTCTACAGGTCTTTAGGTTTACAAAGGATGTTCCTCATAACCACCCTATGAAATGGGTAGTTAGGGTATTCATATTCCCTTATATAGATGAGGAAAGGGAGGCACAGATGCAGAAATGACTTGCCCAAAGTGGAGACTCTAACCTGTCTCTTGATTTCAGGCCCAGCATTCTTTCCACTATACCCCAATCCCCCTTACAGATTAAATCCTATCCCAGAATTGAAGAGTTAAAAGGAGTACAAAGACCATCATTCAGCTTAGAACCCACCCAGAACCTGTTCTATGGCATCCCCAACAAGCAGCCAGCCAGCTTCATCACTGCCACCGCTTCTGAAAAGGGTGTTTCAATCAACTGCCCTGTGGCTTCCCTTATGACCAAAACACCCTTACTTCGACACCATTCACCTACCTACACCTGTTGTCTCCTCCTCCCAAAATGTAAGCTTCTCCAGGGAAGAGACTGACTCTCTTTTGGTATTTATATCCCTGGTGTTTAGCATGGTGCCTGGTATATAGTAAGTCTTCACAAATACTCATTCATTCATTGTTAATGGAAGAGAAAAACCTCAAACACTTTCTGGATGTACACGGACATATCACTTATAGCCTTTATACCTCAGTTTCCTCATCTGTAAAATAGATGGTCCCTAGAGTACATTCCAGCTCTAAATTTGTGATCTCATGAATGAGAACCTACCAGTTCCAAAGATGGTCCATTCCCCTTCTTGACAATTCTAATTGTTAGGAAAATTTTCCTTGTATGAAGTTGAAATCTATTGGCCTCTATCTACCTTCTACCTATTGCTCCTGGTTTTATCTTTTGAAGCCTGATCTTTCTTCTTCAAGTCTGATTTCTCTTCCCCATGACAGTCTTTCAAATACTTAAAGACAGATCTCATGTTCCTATCGTTTATTCTCTGTGATATGTATCCTTAACTCCTATGGCTGATCTTTGCCTTACCAGCCTTTCCTGGACATGTTCCAATTTTCTTATGTCCTTTCTAAACTGTGGCGTCCAAAAATGAATTTAGTGCTCCAGATAGATCAAGCCAGATAAAATAACACTGCTAACTCTCTAATTTTGTACACAGTGCCTCTCCTAATGCTTCCTAGGATACCATTAACTCCTTTGGCTGCCATATTACACTGTTAGCTCATACTGAACTTGTAATCCAGCAAAATTGCTAAATCTTTTTTATATGAACTATTGTCTAGTCATAACTTCCCCCATCCTGTATGTGTAAAGTTAATTTTTATGTTATCTCCCCCAATAGAACATAAGCTCCTTGAGGGCAGAGACTTTTATTTTTGTTTTCCCAATATCTAACACATAGTGGGTGCTAAATTAATGCTTTTGTGGGGGGGGAGGCTAGGCAATGGGGTTAAGTGACTTGCCCAGGGTCACACAGCTAGTAAGTGTTATGCATCTGAGGCTGGATTTGAACTCAGGTCCTCGTGAATCCAGGGCTGGTGCTATGTCCACTGCACCACCTAGCTGCCCCTAAATTAATGCTTTTTGATTGATTGGATCCATGTTGAATTTTACCATTTGTTCAATTAAATTTCATTTTATTCAATTTGATTCAAGAACTTTTTGGATACTTACCCTGTAGTCTAATATGTCCAACTCAATAAAAAAAAATACTGAATATATTGCATATATGCAGACTTTTTATGCCTATAATAACCTCATTGATCTTTACCCTCTCTACCCTCCTTTCTCCCAAGTTGAAGGGAGGGTCAAGAATTAGTCTATTTTACACACAGAGAAACTGATGTCTGAAGGAAAGAAGTAAATATTCCAAAGACCTAGTTCCAGGACAGAGAAATTTTGGCTCAGTGTAACATAAAACGTTCTAACAATGAAAGCTATCTAAAAGCAAAATGCCCTGTCTTGGGAGCAGCTGGGAGTCCCAATACTGGAGACCTTTAAGGGTGAAGATGGATGACCGTTTGTTGGATTCCTGCTCATGCAGTTATTGGGCTAGATGACCTCTGAGGTCCCATCAACTCTGAGATCCTGTGACTTTGAGACAATGGTCCAAGTATCCTTTCTCCCACATGAGGACATTACTGCTTGGACCTAACTACCTGACATTGCACATAATCCTTCAGCAAAAACTTTGCTTTAGCAACTGGTTCTAGCTCAGTTCTAAATATAATGAGCAATACACCCTAGCTTAATTCTATAGGGTGTTTCTGAACCAAATTATTCGGCAAACCCAGGTCCCAACACTTAACTCTTTATCAAATGAGGACTCTTCTGAGCCCTCCCAAGGAGACTATGGGAATAACTTACCTCTCTGAAGATCTGAATTACCTCACTGGGGAAAAATGCTCTCATCCATATCCAGCCACCTCTTTTGCAGCCACCATCATGGGCTGCCTGAAGTCTGACCTCTACCAAGATCAAGTCCTAAGAATAGGTGCATTGTTCCTAAAAGTTAGAAGTCAAATACTTAGCAGGGTCATGCAAAAGCTGAAAAGTCACAGGGCGAACAAGACTATGGGGCTGGGAAAACAGCCAGATCTTTTGTTTCTGTCTTAGCTCAGAAGTGCTCCAAATACCAGGGCCCCTTTAATGTGTGACAGGAATATGCAGAGAGAGATAACTCCTGCCATCTAATGTCTTTACCCTCCTCTGGATGCCTCTGGCTGGCCATGGCTCCTAAATCACTGTAGCTCCACACAACTTGAAATTCTCTAAGTGTATACTCTCCTACCCATGCCCCTGCCCTGCCTCCCCCCCGCCCTCCTTCCTTGGCATCTGTACTTGTTATAACCTTGTGTTTCTTTCTGCAACAGAGGAATTCCCAGAGATGAAGAGCCCATCTGTATAATACTCAACCTGCAGCAAAGAAGGTGTGATATTGCATCCATTTCTTCATCTTTCCTTTGGAAACTGTAAAATTCATCCATATTGTTGACACTAGAATTTTCTTAGAGGCCATGTCTTGTAAGTTAGGAAGCCTGTGGGTGAATCTGCATGCAATTTGTACAAAATTTGCATATGACAATTGGCCAAGTAAGTGGCACAGCATAAATTCAAACACTGAAAATGTTCATTTTGAGATTCCTCTCTCAGGTCCCATTTTTAATCATCACTGACCTGAATTCCTCACCCCGGGGATTCCAATTTGCAAACCACTTCCTTGGGAGCAGTTACCTCCCCCACAGCCATCCCAGCTGCTGCAAAGAACCCTGCAACAGGATCCACAAAAAGACTAGTACTAGGGAAATGAAAAAGAAGTGAGATCTGGTTTTCAATTAAATTTTCTGAGTGAATCTGAGCCAGAAACAAAAATGTAGATGTTATAGTTTGAAAATTCATTTTATTTTTTTAAATAAATTTTATTGATAATTTCTGTTTTTCCATCACAGTAATTTTTAGAAATACTCACCCCAACTACTCCTCCCTAGTAATAAAGGAAAATATAGCTAAATAAAATCACCTGGCAAAATGATTGTGTCTGATGGGACAGACAACATTCTGTATCCATGGTCCCCCATCTCTATGCTAGAAACAAAAGAGAACAAAACAAATCCTTATTTCACAAAGAAAAATTGAAGAGGCAAAATCACTCGTCTAAGGACACTGCAAGAGCTGAGAATAGAAGTCAGGCTTTCTAACTCCCAACCCTGTGCTCTTTCCAGGCTGCCTTGTGGCCTCTCCCATAGCAGCTCTCACTAGGCAGGTTTAAGAAGCCCTGCTCTTATGCATAGGTTAGCCCCCAAACAATTGAAGTTCTTTTAGACCTCACCTGAAGCTAAGGAAGAACCCTAAAGCAGCATGATAAATCCATCCTTGCTCCCTTGCCAAAGGTCTGCTGTTAATTGCATGGTTCAACTCACCCATCTGAACCATGCCCTGAAAAATGATGCAAGAATAAATTTCTTGGCCCCAGCTTATTCTTTACTACATAAAAATGCAGACTTCCCAGCACAGAACTACCACCAGTTGAGATGTCTCCTTTGTCTAGGCCCTAAAGAACAAAGATTGATAAGAAACCATAAAAATATGCCCAAGCAAAGCAGCCACCAGGTGATAGACCATGCTTGTAATTTTTTTTTCCTTTTTTGCAAGGCAATCAGGGTTAAGTGATTTGCCCAGGGTCACATAGGTAGTAAGTGTTATGTGTCTGATATTACATTTGAACTCAGGTCCTCCTGACTCCAAGGCCGGAGCTCTATCCACTGTGCCACTTAACTGCCCCTATAATTTGTTTTTAATTCAGTTCTGTAGCATCATAGGAAACAAATTTTGGGGGATTCCTTTGGAAAATTTTTTTTAAAAATATTTTATTTTTTCCCCAATTACATGTAAAGACATTTTAAACACTCATTTCTTTGGAAAGGTTTTTTTTTAATTAAAATTTTTTTCAATTAATAAGCACTTTTTTCTTTCTCCCTCCTCCCCCACCCCAAACCCACATAAGAAAATTTTGGGAGGAAGGCAGGGGTTTGATGCAACAAAGCTGCTGTAATAGATTTTTAAAAATCCAGTGTGTGTAATCAGTAGATCTGGGCATAGGCTCTGCCACTAACTAGCTGTGCAAACCTGAGGAGGTCACTCACCGCCTCTCTCTGGGTGTCAGTTTCCTCATCTATGAAATGAGCAAATATGGTTAAGTGGTTTTTGAAAGTCGCTTCCCCCTCCAGGCTTCTCATTGCAAGACTCAGCTTACCAGCCATGGGAGGTTCATTTAATCCAGTAATCAGAGAAGGCAGGAAAAGTCCTCTTTGCCCTTCGTGGAGAAGCTATCTTCCAAGAATCTCAAGCCCTTTTGCTCTCTACCACCCCCTGCACAAGTGAAGCCAACTGACTCCACCCAGACTCCTAGCATCTTGTTTCTCTTGTTGTAATTATGCCTTTGAGCTAAATTGTAAATAATAATTAGAGAAGGTGGTTTTGTACTCCCATTTTTGTGACCAAGTAGGATGTCGGATGTTCTAAATAAACCCATCAAGCAGTAATTTGAGTCTTCCTCTCCTTCCGCTGAGTCTGAATCACTGCACATTTGTCATGTTAACACAAAGTACACATTATAGTACATGGGGACAGTTACATAAAGGAGGGAGATGTGTATTCATCCATCCATCCATCCATTCATTCATTCCACATCTATTAAATTCCTCCTTAATATAACAAGGCTTTGTGCTTGGAAGTAATTAGCCTCAATTTAAGGGGAAATTTAACACTAAGAGCTCCGTGTTAGGAGTGGTAGTACGTGTCTGTAATCCTGGCTACCATGGAGGTGGAAGCTGACAAGTTTCGAGCGCAGGAGCTCTGAGCTACGTACGCTGAGCTGCGCTGGTCAGGTCTCTACATTAAACTTGGCAGTAATGTCATCAGCCCCCAGGAAGGGGGTTGCCACCCCCCCAGGGCCCCTCATCTCTGCACCCTGTTGTATAATGAGGGTCAAACCTCCTCAGGTCAGTAAGAGATCAGGTCAAAGTTCCTGTTTGATTAGGATCAATGAGCAAGATCAGGGCTGTGAACAGCCCCTGAACTTTCAGCCTATATGAGATGAGGAGACCCAGGCTTAAAAAAAAACAAAACCCAAAACCAATAGCTCCCAGAGTGAGGTGGGCTATCACAGGAGATGGTGGGTTCCCCAATCACAGGAATTCTCTAAGAGTAGGCTGAACAACCGCTTTTCAGGGATGTTACGAAGGAGATTCCTGTTCATGTTAGGCCATGTGATCTCTGAGGGGGCCTTCCAGCTCTGAGATGTTGTGATTCTGAGTGGTCAGCGTAAAGGTAGGGCTGAAAGGGAGCTAGGTGGTGCAGTGGATGGAGAACTGGCCCTGGAGTCAGGAGGACTGAGTTCAAATCTAGCCTCAGACACTCAACTAGCTGTGTGACCCTGGGCAAGTCACTTAACCCTGACTGCTTCCAAAAAAAATTTTGTTTTTAAATTAAAGTACGGTTGAAGCTGTAGGGGTAGGTAAACTCACCAAGAGGTGGGATGTTAGTTTGAGTGGTCAAGGGAAGATTTGGGGCAGGGGGATAGTGGGAACTTGATCTTGTTTGTAGAAGACGGGGAAGAACCAGTAGAGGAAGAGAGCATAGATGCAAAAGAATGAAGGGATAAGTACTGAGAGGTAGGTCTTAGAAGAGACTGGACAGGATAGGATCAAGGGCATAGACAGAGGGGTATATTGACTTTTACAGTTTATGTAAATGATATTTTAAAAACACTTTATTTACATTATCATTATACACATATTTACATACACACCCAACAACCCTGAGCATCTGAAGTTCATAACCCTGAATTAGGTAGAATAGATGTTGTCACCCCCATTTTACAGATGAGTAAACTCAGGCTCAGAGAAATTAACTGATTTGTTCAAGGTTATACAGTGAATAACATTCAATTCAAATCAACAACCAAGCTTAGAGAACAAGACATGGAAACAAGTAAAAATAAGTACTGTAAATGTGGAATCAATACTGGCTTTGGAGTCAAAAGTCTTGAATCTTGATTTGGACACTTACTACCTATGTGACCTTGGGCAAATCACTTAACCTCACTGGACCTCCACTTCCTCATCAGTAAAATAAGGGAGTTAGAGTAGCTAATCTTTAAGGTCCTTTCCAACTCCTCCATCCTATGATCCCATGTAATTTCATCAGCACTCAAAATAATTAAAGCCTAACTTCAAAGTTGCAAGGTTTGCAAGTCTAAGTGTTTACTTGTTAACAAGGCCATCTAATACAGCAGTTTAGAACTTTTCAAAGTGCTTGCCTGTCTCTAAACACATATTAGTCCCACAAGAGCTCTGGAAGGTCATGCAAATGGGCTTTGTGACTGTAAATAATATCTATGTTATTATTATTACCTTGATGGATCTGTGATCTCATAGTTATGGTACTTGGCAATGGTGTAAAGTACAGACCATCTAAGCCTTCTCGTCCTAAGTGATTCTTTGTCCACATTCTCCCATAAATCTTGCACAGGTCTACCCAACATACTGATGGCCCTCCAAATACCTTGACATTTTGTGGGCACCAATGGAGCACACAGGCTGCCCATTTTCATCCCTTGCTCTCACTCCCCGACTGCCCTACCACCTTTGTTGATGACACATCTCTCAGATATCCTTTATGCATTTTCTCCTGTGGAGTTCCTTGTTGATAATAAATGTTGTACTCACCGCATGTTGCACTTTGGATGATTTGAGATTTTAAAAAACAAATTGAAAATGAAATTGTTTTGCTTTAGGCTTTCAACTCCTCACACCCCTGTTTTTCTGCACATTCCCTGTCCTTTCCCCCTAGGTTACACTTAGAACATTTAATATCTTTACTGGTAAAAATCCTTTTTAGAATCACCACTCTATCACTGTTTTGGCCTACAAGGAAGGAAATAAGCATTAAATACCTACTATGTGCCAGGCACTGTGTGGGCTCAGTGCTTTACAAATATTTGATCCTCACAATTCTGTGTAGCAGGTACTATTATTATCCTCATGTTACAATTGAGGAAACTGAGGCAAAGGCTATCTAATAGCTGTCTATAAAATCAAGAAAAGTAAACAATTGGTTTTTTAAATTCAATTTTATCTTATTTTCAGTTCCAAATTCTCTCCTTCCCTCTCTCTCACCCATTTAGGATGCAAGAAGAATATAATCCATTAATGTGGATAGCTATGCAAAACAAATATCTGTATTAACCACATTCCAAGAAAAAAAAGTAAGAAAAAACAAGAAATAGAAGAAAATATGCTTTAGTCTATCAGTTCTCTTTCTGGAGGTGTATGGTATGTTTCATTGTGAGTCCTAAAATATATAAATTGGAATCCCAAACTCAGGCTGCTACTGAGCATTATAAACAAACACTAATAATAACATATTCATATTGTAGTTCAAGTGCCTTCATTAAAACAACCCTGTGAAGCAGATGGCGAAAGTAAAATTGCCCCATTTTAGAGACAAAAAAAAATGAGGCAGGGAGTTCAAGAGACTTCTCTCTGATCAGAAAGCTAGCAAGTATTTCAGTGGAAACTCCAACCCAGGTCTCTTGAATCCTAGTCTAGTTTTTATTATCTGTGCCTTCTAGTTAGTGCATTCTCTTCTCCAGATATGTGTTTTGTTGGGACCTGTGATTTCATCTGTGTAGAGAATTCTCAGTGTGGAAACTCCTTCCATTGATACAGATGGCAACTCATATGTTAACAGTCTTAGAGAATTGCCTGGGCCACTGAGAGGTTAAGTGACTTGCTTATAATCACAGAGATAGGAGATATCAGAGGCAGGACCTGAAACCAATTATTTTAGACTCTGAGGCCAGCCCTCTTTCCATTATTCCATGTTGTCAGTGAGATTAGATTTAAATATTTTAAAAACTATCATGCAGAAGATGGTTTAAGCTTTTTCTGTATGGCATCAAAGGTGAGTACCAACTGGTAGAAGCTACAAGGAGAAATTTCAGTACCATATATAATGAACCTGCAGGCAGCTAGGTGGCACAGTGGATAGAATGCTGGACCTAGAGTCAGGAAGACTATCTTCCTGAGTTCCAATCTAGCCTCAGACACTTACTAGTTGTATGACCCTGGGCAAGTCACCTAACCCTGTTTGCCTCAGTTTCTCCATCTGTAAAATGAACTGGAGAAGGAAATGGCAAACCATTCCAGTGTCTTTGTTAAGAAAACCCCAAATGGGATCCCAAAGAGTTAGACATGATCGCAACAACTGAACAATAATGAACTTCCCAAGATAAGGAACTTTGGGTTATTCAGAAAGGGAAGGAGCTAATGTGTAAAGCAGTGAGCTCTCCAAAAAAGAGCCTATCCAAACAAGCTACCCATTAAATTTCCATCAAACTGAAACCGGATGGTCACCTGCTGGCATATTGTCATGAGGTTGTCTATAGAAGTGGGCTATTTGTATTAGATGATGACGACAATGATGATGATGACTGCTAACATTTATACTGCACTTTAAAGTTTACAAAGCAATTTATATATATTATCTCATTTAATTCTCAGTAAGGTAGGGTTAGGATTAGGGTTAGTAAGGAGGCCAAGTGATTTGTCAAGGATCATCTAGCTAGTAAGTGCCTGAGGTAAAATCTGAACTCAGATCTTTCTGATTCCA